AGGTTATGCCAGATGTTGAAGATATCAAATATAGTCCAATTATTAAGCATCCTATTATGTTCTTCCCTAAAAGCATTTTGTTAATGTGTATAAAGTAAGGCACTTTTCATTTTATAAGCATATAGTCATATATACATTGCATACATTTGGGGGCTTTTTAATTTTTTTTATTTTTTTGCTGAGGAAGATTAGCCCTGAGCTAACATCTGTTGCCAGTCTTCCTCGTTTTTTGCTTGAGGAAGATTAGCCAGGAGCTAACATCTGTGCCAATCTTCCTCTACTTTATATGTGGGTCGCCGCCACAGCGGGGCTGACAAGTGGCGTAGGTCCGCGCCTAGGATCTGAACTTGTGAACCCGGGCTGCTGAAGCAGAACATGTCGAACTTAACCACTATGCCATGGGGCTGGCTCTACATTTGGGGGTCTTTTGTACAACACTAAAGAAGAAGAAGTAGGTAGGGGTATGATTGCTGTAAAAGTTTCTGGGTACAAAAAGTAGAACTATTCACTATGAGCATTTAGGTTTTCCACAAATAAGAATGAAGTTCAAATTAATGTAAACTATAATAATAAAAATGAATGTTAATATTGACTCGGCACCTACTATGAGTCTGACTCTGGATTAAATGCTTTAGTTTTAATCCTCACAATAATCCTATGCAAAAAGAACTATTATTCCAATTTTACTGACGAGAAAACTGAAGCTTACTGATATAGTTGATATAGTTTAAGGTCACAGAAACAATTAATGGGTAGAAACAGGGTTGGAGAGGTCAAGTTTTAATCACTACGCATACCTTCCTCCCAAATCTATCTTGATAAGATTATATTTACAGCTTGTTTCCATACTGACAACATGAGGCAAACTATATTTAAAATTTCCAAAGCCCTAGTATTTAAGTTAAAAGATGACAGAACCCTTCTCCTTGGGTTTTCATGGCCCTAAGCTGTAAACTTTGTCTTAGGTCAGATGTAAAAGTGAAAACACAGACCACAATTAACACCCAGGTCTCACTCATTTTGTCCTTCAAGGAAGCAAGCTCTTCTAACATAGATATAGAGATAGGGGGTATCTACACATAAAGGCATAGCTCCTTGAGATTTTATGTGAGCAGGCTCCGGCGTAGGAAGGACGCGTTCAAGTTCAGTTCAAGAAACAGGACAAAGGCAAATTCAGTGCCAGGAACTGAAAGGAAGCCAGTGTGGGTACAGACTCTCAATGTCACCTGGCAATGCTGCATGAGAATTTAAGTGAAAATGACTTAAGAAGACCAAGTCTTTCAGCCAAGATGGTATTCTAAGTTCACATATATAGTGCCCCTTCCCTATCACGATCGCAGCTCCAAACAGCAAAATAGACAAAGTTATAAGCATGCTGGGTTTTTTGTGTCTGTGTGATTAAAAAAACAAGATTAAATGTCTCCATGGATCAGACACAAAATAGAAATGCAAAGCATACTGTAGACAGGTGTCCAGCAGTCTTACCTCTGTGAACTAATGGGGCTAAAAAGGAAAAGGCTGGGGCTTGAGCCAGGCTCACTGCTGGAAATCAGAGAATGTGGAGGGGGAAGCCCGCACAACACAATGAAAGGTGGCTTTAAAAATCTGTTTATTCAGGGAGGTGGCAGGAGGCAGACACAGCCTCACCACCAGGACCTGGGCCATGTTGTGTGCCGGCCTGGTGGTGGATCTTGACATTCTATCATCATCGTGGAACTAAAGCCCCTAGCTGCAAACATAAAACTTGGCTCTGGGGGCCGGCCTGGTGGCTCAGCCGTTAAGTGCATGTTCTCTGCCTTGGCAGCCAGGGGTTCCCTGGTTCTGATCCCAGGCATGCACCGATGCACCGCTTGTCAAGCCATGCTGTGGCGGTGTACCATATAAAGTAGAGGAAGATGGGCACAGATGTTAGCCCAGGGCCAATCTTCCTCAGCAAAAAGAGGGGGATTGGCATCGGATGTTAGCTCAGGGCTGATCTTCCTCACACACACAAAAAACACTTGGCTCTGGACTGGGGTCCTTGGAGGTAGGCAGTAGGTAACAGTAAACCCCTAGAAAGGATAGTGAGTGCAGAGAAAGAACATGCAGGAAGCAAACTCAAGATGACGCTCTAAACTGTAATTCCAAAGCACATAAGAAAAACTAGCACTAAGAAAGATGTCCAGGGACCAACCCAGTGGCGTAGTGGTTAAGTTCGCCTGCTCCACTTCGGCGGCCCAGGGTTCACAGGTTCGGATCCTGGGCGTCGACCTACACACTGCTCACCAAGCCGTGCTGTGATGGCGTCCCACATACAAAATAGAGGAAGACTGGCAATAGATGTTAGCTCAGGGACAATCTTCCTCACCAGAAAAAAAAAAAAAAAAAAAAAGGAAGAAAGAAAGATGGCCAATAAAATCAACAGCAGACCTATTTCCTCCAGATGAAATGAATAGAGCAACCTGAAAATGACTTCAGACTAAACTTTTAAAAACAAGTAAGTTATTGCACAGATTATCTTATCAGTTATATTTCAACGTTCCTCAAATTAAATTTCTTATTATATAAATCTTGAAGTTTTAAATGTTGAACTTGTACTTTCCAGTGAAGTGACTAAAAGCACAGTCTCATCAGTATATTGAGCATCAGAGAGATGGCTGGATATGGCTGTGTTCCCTAAGAGCCATGAAGTAAGAGCCTCCAAGATTCTTGCACCTCTGTGGCACCTTTAGAGACTGAAAGGCAATCTTGGAATACTTTGTGATGGCAGAATGGACATGGATTAACAAAGTGGACAACACAGATGCAAAAGAAGCCAATCCTGCAACAGAACACCTTTCTTTGATAGAAGGATGGGAAAGTGGATAGAATAAGAAAATTGTCCCTGAAAATTAAACATGTGCTTTATAACTAGATTCAGGCTCAAGTTGGAATAAACTTACAAAATTCTCCATCTTCTCTGCCACAGAGGAAAAATAAGTACATATGTTTATAAAGCAACATCACATGCACATTAAAGTGGGAGATCCTAAATATAAAAGATGACCATTTGATGAATGAATAGCTGAATGACCAACCATTCTAAATCAGAAAAAAAAACTGAGGCATCAAGCACATTCCTCTTACTCTTTATGATGTAACCTCAAAAAATCTTGGTGAAAACCAAATCAATCAATTTCAAATAACACACCAAAAAAAGTTTCTGTAGTATTCAATCCAAGAATTTCATTGCACTGCTCCAATTCCTACGATGTTATAAGCACTGGCTGTTTAAATGAACCATGCTCTTTTCTTTTAACCAAGGTTGACGTTAGTGCCATCAAGTTGATTCCGACTCCTAGCGACCCTGTGTACAGCAGAGCGGAACCCAGCCTGGTCTTTTTGCACCATCCTCTCACCTTCCAGCACTAGATCAGACAATGTTCTGCTGCTATTCACAGGGTTTTCATGGCCAATTTATTGGAAGTGGGTGGCCATGTCCTTCTTCCTAGTCTGTCTTAGTCTGGAAGCTTCACTGAAACCTGTCCACCATGGGTGACCCTGCTGGTATTTGAAATACCAATGGCATAGCTTCCAGCATCACAGCCACCACAGTATGACCATCGATAGAGGGGTGGTGTGGTTTGCCAAATCTTAACCACTAGATCATCAGGGCTGGCTCTTTACCCAAGGAGGACATAGCAATAGATGCTACTAGGTGCAAAGGGTTGGGGGAAGATCACAATTCTGCTCTAATCCCAACCAGAATTTTGGCTAAGGGAGAGAAATACCCCTATGGAAAGCTGACAAAGTAAGCATAGGTCCCCTTATGAAACTAGAACTCCCATGGAGCCATGATGCACTGGCCAAGGACTAATTTTAGTCATTTTTTAATTCCAGAAGGAAGTTATAACACTGCTGAAAACATTCTTCTTCCAAACCCCTCAGGGGAGATCTTGGAGGGCTCCCCAAATGTCAGGCCTGTGACAAAATCTAATTTGTCTAGAATCATAGATTCTAATGACATGAAGCAGGGTTGTGAGGCGGCAAGCTCCCTGTCCCTGGCAATGTTCAAATGGAGAGACCCGTGGTGACGTGTCATAAATGTGGACATGCCTGAGGTGGGAGGTTGCTTGATTGTTGCTTGCAAATCTGGAACCAAGGACTCTGGGCCAAATCTTAGGCCAGCGCTTCCCATGGGGGAAGGCAATGCCAAGACAGCCAGTGGATACTGAAAAGGCTCAGAGACCCCTTAGATTATGAACCCATAGCTTTTGACAGCCCACTCTCTCTCTACCTAACTGAACATGGAATAATTAATGTGCATTTACTGCCATTGATCTAAAACCAGCAAATTCTGCCAACAGAGATTTATCAGAAGGGGAACTAAGAAACAACATATAATTAGCTGACAGTTATTAAGGAGTTAATTATTCAGTTTTTTGTCTCACTTCTTTCTTCTTCCTACTTAACTCCTTTCGACCACCTCCCTGTTGATTTGCTTCTCCCATCCATTAGAGAAATTAAGCAGGTGATACTCAAAGTAACTAACAGGGCATTCTGTGGTTCAAAGCTGTCATAAAAGTTTGGTAAAGGGCTGGAAAGGAGGGTGGGGGGGTTCTGTAATTACTGGAAAAGTGATTATTTTTTTGTTTTGGTTGGTAGGGTGTAAAGGAAAGTGTGGGCTCTGGAGTCAAACAGACTGAGCTTTGGTTTCTTGTTCTGTCACTCACTAGCTGTGTGTCCTTGAGCACATAACTCAGTTGGTCTGACTCAGCTTCCTCACGGAGAAAATAGGGATATCAATATCTGTGTTAGAGACAATTGCAAGGATTAAATAACATAATGCAAAGAGCCAAATACAGTTCTTCCCATCTGGTAGGCACTCAAGCTGCATCATTCAAATTATCTAAAATTTACTCTTCTCATATCATTAAGATACGACTGAAAGCAAATGCTCTTAATCCGAGGAGTTCCTAAGTAAATGTACATACTTTAATATTCAAACTTCTTGATTTAAATGTGCAATTGTTCAACTTTACCTGTCGACTTCCCTGCTTGGAGGAGCAGCTACTTGTGCTCCTCGAAGGTGAGACCAATTTTTGGGATACCCCAAGGTTCTTCTCATCACTCATCATGAGCAGCGGGTCACTTGGCCTCGATGCAGTCAAAATGCCATCAGAAGACAGTGGAGCAGAAAGTATGGAAGTGGCTCAGCTCTTATCCAATATGTTTTAAAAGCATTTTGGATGATCCAGAGGAAATCCCTAAAACCAAAAGAAAAGGATTAGAGAGTAGGTCAGAGGCATCAGACATCACCTATAATTAGCCACTGATTGTCTGCAAGTGGTTTATCTACACTACAGATTACAGAGCCCCGGTGCTTAGTTACATCAGGGGCTGTGAAGGAAAAGATGCTTTACACCTATCTCTTATTGGAAATTATATATAGGCGGTTTTTCATGTAGCTTTGTAATATGATGGGCTTAAGAACACTAGTAAGAAAATTTGAGTCCAGACACATACAAAATCAGTACTATAAAAACCAACCCAAGCCATGAGATACCACTTCATGCCCACTATGATAGGTATAATAAAAAAATAAATAAAAGCACAAGTGTTGGAAGAAATTGGAACCCCCAGGCATTGCTAGTAGAAATGTAAAATGGTGCAGCCATAATTGAAAACAGTTTGGCAGTTTTTAAAAAAGTTAAACATAGAATTATCATTATCATCCAGCAATTCCACTCCTAGGTATACATCTCAAAGAATCAAAAACAGGTATTCAAACAAAAACTTGTACAAGAATGTTCATAGCAATGCTATGCACAATAGCCAAAGGAAGAAACCACCCAAATGTCCAGCAACTGATGAATGGATAAACTACATATGGTATAAGCTATAGTCCCTCCTGAATGTTTGTGTCCCTCCAAAATTCACATGTTGAAATCCTAACGCCCAATGTGATGGTATTAGGAGGTGGGGTCTTTGGGAGGTAGTCAGGTCCTGAGGGCAGAGTCCTCACGAATGGAATTAATGCCCTTATAAAAGAGACCACACAGAGCTCCCTAGCCCCTTCCACCATGTGAGGATACAATGATAAGTCTGCAACCTGAAGAGGGCCCTCCGATCATGCTGACACCCTTGTCTTGGACTTCCAGCCTCCAAAACCATAGGAATAAATTTCTGCTGCTTATAAGCCACACAGACTGTGGTTATCTTATTACAGAAGCCTGAATGGAATGACAGTATATTCCATTAAAATGGAATATTACACAGGAATTAAAAGGAATGAAGTACCGATACATGCTATAACATGGAAGAACCTTGAAAACATTATGCTAAGTGAAAGAAGCTAGGAAAAAAAGACCACATATTGTTTGTTTCTTTTTTTATGAAATATCCAGAGTGGGCAAACCCATAGAGACAGAAAGCCAATTAGTGGTTGCCAGGGGCTGGGGAAATTGGGGAATGAAGTGTGGCTATGGAATTTCCTTAGGGTGATTAAAATGTTCTGGATCTAGATAATGGTGATAGTTGCACAACATTGTGAACGTACTAAATTTCACTGAATTGTATACAGCCATGCGTCACTTAATGACAGGAATAAGTTCTGAGAAATGTATCGTTAGGTAATCTCATCATTGTGCAAAATCACACAAACCTAGACGGTATAGCCTACTACACAGCAAGGCTATATGGTACTAATCTTATGAGACCATCATCGTTGACCAAAATGTTGTTATGTGGTGCCTGACTGTACTTGAAAATGGTCAAAAAGGGAATTTTACATTGTGTGTGTTTTACTACAATTAAAAAAATCTCTTTCTGTTTCTTGGAGGATGGGATGGAGGATTTGATCTACCAAAGATTTCTGGAGACATCCTACCAAAAAACTATTACCAAAAAACTATAACATACTGTGACAAAAACTATGAGAGAAGGCAGAATTTTCCATATCATCTATTAGTACATTAGTAATTAAAACAATGATCAGGGCTGGCCCGGTGGCGCAAGCAGTTAAGGGCACACGCTCTGCTTCGGTGGCCCCGGGGTTCGGAGGCCCGGATCCCGGGCGCGCACCCACACACTGTTTGTCAAGCCATGCTGTGGCGGCGTCCCATATAAAGTGGAGGAAGATGGGCAGAGATGTTAGCCCAGGGCCAGTCTTCCTCAGCAAAAAGAGGAGGATTGGCATCGGATGTTAGCTCAGGGCTGATCTTCCTCACAAAAATAAAATTAAAAAATTAAAAAAAAAAAAAACAATGATCATCTGTTGAGTCCATACTACTGACTGCCAGCACTATAGTAAGAGTGTCCCACACGCATTGTCTCATTTAATCAACAGTCTGATGGGAGAGTTTCATCTCTATTTTACACAGGAAAAAACTGAGGCTCTGAGGAGTTAGGTAACTTGCCCAATCATGCAGCTGGCAAGAGACTGACTCCAGGCTAGATCCCAGGCTTTTAACCTTGGTGCTGGAAATTCTCATGCCTTATGGCCAGGTCTGGCAATAACAGCTACTGCCCCACCTCTGGGACCTAAGAGAATTAAGGAGCTGGACTAGAAAGACTCAGCAGGGAGCACATCCGAAGCCAGCTTTGAAGATATAACGCCCCATTCCTTTCCACAGCACAGTACTAATCCCCAAGATGGCAAAGTATCTGTGGTGGGGAAGGGATCAACCAGGGCAGAAACAGGGACACCTCTTCCAAGCAGTGAGCTGGGCTGCCACCGGCCACACCTACAGCTCTTCAGGGGTAAACCACTGCCTTCATCCACAGCCCTGAGTTAAGGGTGACTAACAAGTTTGGTTTTAGCTTCAGAAGGCCAGACTTTTATTTAACACACTAAGTTCAAATAAATTCTACAACTTTCCCAAGCATGTTACCAACAATAAAAAAAATTTATATCTAATCCATTTGGTTATTAGTATTCACACAGTCTAATTTTAAAAGGATATTATGTAACTATTCAGGAACCAGCTAGTTAAATATTATATCAAACTTTTGTTTAATTATTAAGTACTCAAATCTCCTATGCCTTTCCCTCGCACTTAAAAAATGAGTATGCTAAAACCATAAACTAGGGGCTGGCCCCGTGGCTTAGCAGTTAAGTGCGCACGCTCCACTACTGGCGGCCGGGGTTTGGATCCCGGGCACGCACCAATGCACCGCTTATCTGGCCATGCTGAGGCCGCGTCCCACATACAGCAACTAGAAGGATGTGCAGCTATGACATACAACTATCTATTGGGGCTTTGGGGAGAAAAAGGGAAAAAAAAGAGGAAGATTGGTAATAGATGTTAGCTCAGAGCTGGTCTTCCTCAGCAAAAGAAAAAGAGGAGGATTGCCATGGATGTTAGCTCAGGGCTGATCTTCCTCACAAACAAACAAATAAAATCATAAACTAAAACCAAGACAAAAAGGAGGAATATAAAAATTTCAGTAAATAAAATTAAGGTACCTGTAGCCATAGAACTCAATTCCCATGTTGCTTTCATAGAAACCCCCCAAATCTCTGTATGCATTATGTAGTGGATCCAACAATAAATAAGACTTAAAGCAAACCAACACCAGCCTCTTCATCAAGTTAGCTTTACTCATGGGGGCATGACTAACTGTACCTGAAGTTAGAAGCAAACGCAGTCTAGTTAAAAACCACCAAGAGGGCCGGCCCTGTGGCTTGGTGGTTAAGTGCGCGCGCTGCGATGCTGGTGGCCCGGGTTCGGATCCCGGGTGCGCATCGAGGCACCACTTCTCCGTT